AGTAGAATAGAATTTTTTATTGTTTGAAAGTTTTATGATAGGAAGAAAGGGTTTTACATGACCATTATGTGCAAGTTATTATAAAATGAATGAAACAAAATGATTTAAAATTTTTTTCTTCCAATATTACCCATATGACTAAATTTAAAAAAATAATGCTCATTAAATAATTATAATATTTATGCAACAAAAATAATAATGATGATAATAATAATTATTATTATTGGTGGTGGTGGTGGTTAAACAAGATATTCAAGAATTAAAAATAAAAAGAGAAAGCAAATAATATGGCTCTTTAAGGAAACATTCTTGTTGTACAAAAGGAAAACACAGCACGTAGTGTCGAAAGGTACAATAGAGAGAGAAAGCAAGAGTGAGAGAGAGATGGCAAGAAGTATGACTATGCACTATGTCTAAATGCTTGATTAACCTTGCTCAAAGCATCTAAGCACGTGAGGCCAAGCATCAACAAAGGTCAAATATTGCCTTGCCCGAACATGTGCAAGTTTTTTTTATTTTTTGTGAATAATATTTATCTTATGGCATTATTTTTTATTAAAATTTATCATGAATATATTATTTTTATGATATTTTAGACATTTTTTATCATTAAAATTTTTTAAATCTCTTTCAAAATTTAAAATTTTTCTTTAACTTATTATTATGTAAAAATAATTGACAATTGTTGTTCATTTAAACTTTTAAAAAATTACTTTTAATTCTAATATTAGTTTTATGGAAATATATCTTAAATAAAAATAAAAATATTACTTTTTCAAGGAAAAATTTTTTAATATGTTTTTTAAAAAATACTTGTAAAAATATTTTCGGGTTAATTGGGCTAACCTAGTACCTTAATGCATATCGAGGTGGGCACCAAGCTAGGTTGATGCCTAACCCGACCCTACCAATGTACAACCCTAATAGGAGACAAGAGAGATAGCCCGAGAATGAGAATAATATATAGGGTTTTTTTAATTGGAATAGGAGGTTGGGGTTAATTTTGTAAATAAAATAATTATACTGTGCCATTTCATCTTTGACTCCCTAATTTGGAGATAAAAAATATTGAGCTATGAATGGCAAAGGAAGATTTTAGAGGCCCTTCCTTGCCATTCCAACATTCTTTAAAAAAACTCACAAATAATGGCTAATATCTTTTAAACATCTCACTCCATTCCATTCTTTTCTAAAAATCTCCCAAACATAGTGTAATAGACATTTATTTCCTCTAAGGTTATAATATTTTACTAACCCATACTTTAAATAAACAATACATTTGTTTACATATGCACTCTTTCCCAACATCATAACTTGAAGCAATAACATTTTGTTTTAATATATTTAAAGGTTTAAATAAATACAATAAACTACAGGTCAAAAATAAATAATTAAATAGAATTGCCTTTATAGACCCCATATCACCTTCCAACACTTATATAAAAGCAAAGTCCACAACATAAAAATTGAATAACTTCTAAAAACAAAAATTTAGTCAATGATTCATTAACCAAACTTGGTTCTTCAATTAAATCAAAACAATTACTCCTCCCACATTTTTTTAAACACCTTATATGCATTCTAAACTCAAGTCATATACAAGTACCAAAAATTATAAATTGCCAACCAAACAACTCCCAAAGATCAACGCATTATATATAAAGTTTCCTATATTCAATTTCATAACAACATTAGACTTCTTAATGTGAGCAAAATATAATTCTAAATTTAAATTCATCATGGTCTTCCAATCATCAAATCCCTCATTAAGAATTAGAGGTCAAGAAAAATTCAAAATTCTTCTATCCCCATTTTATCCAACACTTAGAGCATCCCCAAAATCAAGTCATAAACAACTCCATAGTTTAAAATTATAAATCATACAACTCATAAGAATTTAAATAGTTTCACAATAGCATCATAATCAATTTCTTTGAAATACCCAGTTAAATTCACAAATAAATGTCATTCAAGCTAGTCATATTTCTCATATGTTGATTTAATGGAATTTTAGAAAATATATAATCAAGCAAAACTTCTCCTAATAGATATTTTGTCGAACACTTTACAGGCATTAAACTTCAAATCTCAATTCCAGCTTCTTCATTTCAAATCTCACCCCAACCATTTTCCAAATAGTTCCAATATCAATATTGAAAGACCATACTTCTCAAAAGGACAATTAAACCCATTTTTATAACACCACCAAAGCATTTAAGGCTAACAAATATATAGAACTTCCTTGAACCTTATAGCATATGCATAAAACCTTTGTAATCTTTAAAACATGACAATGGACTTCCTTATACTTTTATTTTTATACATATAACTCCTTCCCGCTAATGATTCCGTTAAATTATTAATAGAGAAGTGACATGGCACTCGACATGGCATTTTATTAAATAATCAATATTACAAACTAAATTATGAGGGTAAAATAGCCAATATTAACATTCAAAGAGGATCACCTTTCTTCTCTATTTTTTTCTCTTCCTCCATTATTCAACTACACTTCAAACGCACAATCTAATTTGGGGAAAATGAAGCATACTTCAATTCTTCTTAACCCATCAAAGTTTCTCCATCATTGTGCTTATGAGTAAAATTCAAGCACCCTTAATCAAACAACAAACTAACCCAAGCAACAATCAGAACCCAAATTCACTGAAGCAAAAAACACTTATGAGCTGCCTCACACCCATAAATACCAACAATTTAACCCACGAGCACCCTCAATCAAAACCTAGCTCTAACAAATTGAAGACTAAGAAATGAAAGCAAAATCCACACTAACCTCAAAGGAAACGAGAAGCAACACGCAGAGGTGGAGAAGTCATGTGGCACCCACGAGCAATGGTCAAAAACAAAACCCACGAGCAAAGGAGGGTGCAATGCCAACCCATGGGCAAATGGGAGCAAAGAATCGCAAACCCAATGGATTTTGTGGTAAAAAATGAGGGAGAATGGCCAAAAATGGTTTTTCAAGGAGGTCTATGGAGCTTTTGGAGTGAGCGAGACAGTTTGAATGAAATTTGAAATGGTTGTTGCAGAGCATTTTAAAACATAATACTAAATATTTTTTTAAAATAACCATCAAATATAAGCTTATTTCAAAACAATTATTAAATATATAACATTTATTTGACACTTGTTTTGAAACAAGCATAAAAAAGGAAATAATTTTATTTTTATATATTTATTTGATGCTTGTTTTAGAACATTTGTCAAATAAATGTATGTATATTTGATTGTTGTTCTGAAAAAAGGTTAAATATTTATACTCTTTTGAAAAATTAAAATAATAAATGTATTTGATATGTTTTGTAAATAACTATCAAATATTTATTTACACATTTAAAAATTATTTTGAAATAACTATCAAATAATCTTTACCTTTTTATTTGTCATTTTTCTTAAATATCCATCAAATATAAGGTGTCTTACTGTTTTTTGTGGTAGTGAATCCTAACCATTGCATTGGGAAAATCATAGCCATTCATTTTACCCAACTCAAATGCAGTCTTTATCGTCGTTTTCTACTTTCAGACACTCATCCTTGTTTTTTTTTTTTTTGAAAAGAAAATGGAAAGGCCAAATCATTAATAAAGGCCAATAAGATCTAAAGAAAGTATCCCTCCAATGTAAGCCATTTTTTCATGCTAGTTTAAGTCCAAAATATTAGAAACTTAGCATTTGTGGAATTTTTTTTATCACTTTACCCTTTATATTATTAACCTAGTTTTTTATGTTTTCCATCATCATTCTTAATCTCTTTCTAATTTAATTCATCAATGGTAGTTGGGGTTAAGGGTACAAAGGCAAAATCATGATATACTTTCATGAGGAGAAAAACATAGCTAAGTTTTATTAGTATACAGATTATTGTTGAGCGGATGCATTTGTTTGGATCACACAGAGTAAGTATATGAATCATGAAGAGGCTCTATCAAAATTATAATCTTTGTTAATGTTGTGACTTCTGAACGAACTGAGCGATGAAGTCAACACAGGTATTAACACATACTCATAGGAAAAGCTAACTTTATTTAGATTGTAAAAAGTTGGATACAAGATCAGACAATAAACTAAAGTCGATAATTCAAGCTAAGTCTAATATGTCAATTCAAATAAACTCAAAGTCTTAGGGTTGGGCTTCAAAGTTAAGGAATGTTTTTACTTTAAGTTTATCCAAACCACTCAGATAAGGCAGAAGAATCGGACCAAGCTTGAGCCTAAAAGAAATTGGCTTGAATATCCAACATATTTATTATTAATAAAATTAAATTATCCTTTATTTAAGCCTTTATTGGTTCATTAAATATTAGTCCCTTCCACTATATTTAACCTCTATAAGTAAGTTATTACTATTACAAGAGTATCAAAATTTTTTGGTAATAAATCAGACAGCATTATTTCTCCAAAAAAAAAAAATCGATGACATACAACCAGCTCCTTGCTGTTCAATTTATACAAAAAAAAAAAAAAAATCCTTTGGATTGTTGGGAGTTAGGTTCGACTCAAGCAAGAATAAAATCCATGATAAGTTTTACTTAAAAAACATTAGAATTTACAACCGAACCAATAAACAAAGATAGAAGGTCTACTAATATCCCTAAACAACAAGCATGGCAATCCTATGAAATATGAAAATAATATGTAAAAATATATTATTCACAAGATCTAATCTTCGCTGCCACTTATTTCAAACTTTGTATAAATTTTTTTATTGAAAAGTGAAGTCGTTACTCTAAATTTACATTCATAAAATTTTCTCGGAACAAACTTGATATAATCGCCAATATATAGTAGCATGGTTAAACAAATTAAAACAAATATATTTTTTTATCAATAATAACAATAACAACAAATAATAATAAAATACACGGTTCATTTATCAAACTCCATACAATACACAGGATTCATACTAGTTTATTTAAAAGAAGGCATTCACGTTGTTGAAAGATTTTAATACCAAACCTCAAATCTAATGAGAAGCTTCATCACACAGACACATCATCAGACGATACTTTAACATCTTGATGAGGAGTAACATCGCTGTGTTGTGCAGGGTCTTCTGTAGGAGAGTGTTCAACTGTATTAGATTGAAGTTGATGATGATGAAGAGTTGATGGGCTTGGATTTGAATTATTGTTATATGAAATGATGGAAACGACAGCCAAGAAAAGCCAAGCCACAAAGAGGAAGACAGAAGCAGCAAGTAGCTTGTTGTGGAACTCAGAAAATCTCCTAAGAGCATTTTTTATGCCCACCAATTCCTCATCATCATAATAGCCGCTGATGCCGGTGACGGTGCTGGTGCCAACACGAATTCGTTTCTTCGACTCACAAGAAACAGCAATACCAGCACCACTGCTTGTGGCAAGCAACAAGTTCATCACCTGTATTCAATTAATTGCTTTCAAAACTATTTTTATTTTGTTTTTAAAAGTAAAAAAAGTCAAATAAATTACCTTCAACTATATATGATCAATTACTGTTATAACTCATCACCATTAACTATTGACAACTACTACTACTGGCCTTTTTTTGAATTATAAAATTATTTTTAAATTAATATAATCAAATAGATTTTCTTATTATTTTGTTTTGCAAAACAATTTTTAAAAATTAATTTACAAAATATTTTTTTAAAACAAAAAATATAACAAAATCTAACAAGCTCTTATGCTTCCACTAATTTAAGTCAATTATAAGAGTAGTAATGTATTGCATGTCCGATTTGGATTCGATAATTATATTTAGTATAAACATTAGGTACATATAGCATCTAAACTGTTGAAATTTAGATCAATCATTTAGATAAAGTCACTTATTTATTAATCTTAAATGAAGTATGAATTCAAAGTCGTTGATTTGAATTTCAACATTTAAATACTATATACATTCAATGCCTATATTAAAGATAATTATTAAATCCAAATCCATTGCAGTAGAAATAAAGTTTGAATCGGAAGCAACCTGTTACAATTACATTAATTATCTACATGCTGACTAATTTGAGTTTTATTTTTAGACATTTATGCAGACTTTCCTTTAATTTAAAAACCCTCTTCTAAAAAAATATAAAAAATGGAAAATACACACACACACCCATATCCACACACATATTTTGCGCGATATGTGTGTCAGTGTGTGTCTATACATTAATTTCAAAATTAGATCAGTTGAGGGAATGACCATATCGGCGTAGAACTCAAAATGCTGCGGTATCAGTCTCTTGTGCTTTAGAGCGTAGGATGCAGCAAAGGGTAACTGAACCACACCGTATACTATTGATATCACTGCCACTGGCATCACATATCTGCATTTTTTTTAAGCATCATTGAAGGCATAAGAATTTTATAGATTTTATATTATATATTATATATTCAGTATATAATTTATTAGTTTAAAAATATATTATGAAAATAATAAAAAATTTCTAGAATTTATTGTTTTCTTTGTTTTTTTAAAATTTATACTCTTTTAGATCTAATTTCATCAAGAACGTAATAAATATTGGGGTAAGACTTATATAGTTGATCTTATATATTTAATATATTTTTCCAATTAAACCAAAAAATATTTTAATGTATTAATATTACTAATACAAGAATTTATTATAAAATAAATAATCTATAAAAAAATTAATATGTCTTGATTTATTTGAAAATAAATACTTTAAGAATATAAGGTTAAGTATATAAGTTTTTCTCTAAAATTTAAATGACCCTTACTCATTTTTGAATTTTATTGAAATTATATAAATTTTTCTATAATTTTTCAAAAGATGTTTATGTAGAATTCACTTATAATTTTGTATAACAAATATTTTACTTATAATTTTTATTGAAGATAATTTTTAAATTTCTTAAATAAAAAAGTAATATACTTGATCTTTTAAGACTTCTAAATTTTTTATATATTATTTATTTTATAACAAGATCGTATTATTAAATTATATGGATAAAAGCATAACATGAAGTACATAAGTCTTTTCCAATAAAGGATTTATATAATTTTAAAAAAAATCAAAAAATATTTCATATAAGCTAAATTCTAATCAAAGTAGTCGATACAACCGAAACACAACATCCATAAAGGTCATAAGATTAGGTACATATTCGATCATCAATATACAATATAGTATGTAAAACTTGTAGCAAATTATACTATGCATAAGCTATAACAATATAACTTATTTCAAAATTTTTGCAACGCATAAAAAAAAAAGTTATTTGAATGAATGCATATATATGATGTTGTCCATACCTAAAAGTGGAAATCTTTTCATAATCATAACTAGCACCAAATTGCTGGTAATGGCTGGAAGCCAATAAGGCCATAGAAATTACAGAAGCCATCAGGGCAAGGGATCTAAGGATGAGAATTGAGAATGGAGCTGTTATTAATTTGGAAGCCATTGTTTCTTGTTCCTTGATTACTTTGTCTTGAGCTTCCATTAATTGATCGTGAAACTCCTTCTTTTTCTTTTATACTTCAAAACCCTAAGAGGATTTTTCTGTTTTTCTCCCTCCTTTGCCCACTGATTTTAATTATTATTATTATATCATTATTTGTTATAAACTATAAAACCGCCTGTTTTTTGGTTCTTTCCAGGAGGCATTTCCATTATATTAATTTTGGCTAAATGTTTGAGCTTAGGGCTATATTCGTCGTAACATGAGTAAATGTAGCTATAGATCATATAAACTAATTTCTTGTTTCTTTCTTTGAGTGATTAGCAGAGATTTTGAATAGTAGCATTTGCATACTTGTTCAGGAATATTAAATTTAAAAAACTTCGCATAGACGTAAACGTAACTACACGTGGCAGCTAAACGGTGTCAACACTACAGAGTACGAAGAGAAGCGTTTGCCCCTAATAAATAAATAGAGATTAAACCAAATTATTGGAAGAATTACAATCAAATTTCAAATAAATAAATTAGAACCTTTTTTAATATTAAAAATAAGAATTTTTAGATAGTTTAAAGATTTTATAAAATAAATTTATTTTATAGAGATTTTATAAAAATCAGACATTTTTTAATGTTTGATTATAATAAAAAATCATTATTAGTTATTTATTTTTAAATTTTATGATATTTTCTTTTATTTTTATTTTATAAAAATAATTCACTAGTATATTATTTTAAAATATTATGATCTTCTTACATATCTCGCCTCTTTAAACTCCTCTCTCCCATTTATCACATTAAATTGTCTTCAGAAGCTTTTAAAAATAATTACAAATTTGCTCTTTTTTTTTCAAGTTCTAATTATTTTCAGAAGTTTAAAACAAACATAATTAAAAATCATAAAATAATTTAAAAAAATAAATAATTTTTCATGAAATAAGTTAAAACAAACAGGCCTTTAATTATTTTATCAGTTCTATTTACAAGTAATTGAGACATGTGCGTAATTAGCTTTCTTACAACTTGTAATTCTCTCTTTTTTGTTTATTTGGATTTTGGTAAATGTAAATCGCTTGTTTTTCTGCTCACTTAAGTTTTTTTTTTAATTTCCCTTATTAGCCTGGCCCTTGTAACATCAAATTAAATGTTAACATTTGGAATTGTCCGATCGTAATCTGTTTTAATCTTCAATTAAGATGTCTGTCAATGAAAAAAAAAAAAACAAACAACAAATGAATCTACTTTTTTTTTAATCTCGGCAAGTACATAATTCAAAGAAATGATTTTTTTTTAAAAAAAATATGTTAAAGTTTTTATTGAGCTCAATAGATGTATTTTTTTGCAGCTCTCCCTAAGGTCGCCACTTTATTTCCAAACCCACCGTTTCTGGGAAAAGAAATTCGATCGTCCGACCCAAGAACCAACAAGGCGGGCAAGACTTTTTCCACTTCGTTTCGTGTGCAAGAGCTTAAAAATATTAGTAAATCCTGACCATTGCAATGGGAAAATCTTATCCGTTCATTTTACCCAACTCAAATGCAGTCTTTTGTTTAGTCGTTACAAACGATAATTTAGATTAGTTTATTCAGATTTAACTCAAAATATATAAATAGTTAAAAAAAATTATATAGTTAAGACTGATTTTACACCTCAAGCTTTTAGACTTATTGTGTTGGCTTGAGCACTAGAGTCATTAAATATTATTTCATTTCATTTTTTCCTCTTTTGAGACAATTTCAATTTTTATCTTAAAAATTAAAATTTTTCATGTAATATAACATTTTTTTCTATCCATATTAAATGAGAGCAATCATTAAAATATATAAATGAAAACATATAAAGTAACCTCTTTTGTTTATTTTTCCTTAATATTTTTAAAAAAATTCTAAACAAGTAATTATTAGAACATTAAGAATTTATTTAATTAGGAGTGTTTGTACGAACTAAGAGTTTGGGAGAGAATTTGTGAGTTGTACATGTAGGGTTGAAGTGAAAGTTAATTTCATTTTATGAATAATAAAATAAGAATTTTGGTATATAAGCTAAACTTATTTTAGTTTGGGCTTGACTCGAATTTCTTTGTTATTGAAACTTAACCTAAATAAGCCCAATGTAAAGAAAATTTTATAAACTTTTAAGTTCAATCCTAAAATTTTTTAATTTATTTGGATTAATCTGTCAGGTTTAGCTTAAATTATTAGATCTATTTGTCTTTATAAAATTTTAAAATAATTGCATTCAAAGATCAATGAAGACCCTTAATTATATTACGAAAGAAGGAACAAAACATTCTAAAATTGCTCTGGGCGTGACATATGACAAAAAGAGTGAATGAGAAAAGGTGAAAATAACCTTTCTAAATTTCACCGGATAGAAATATTGTTATGCTAAGCATGCATATATATATATATATATATATATATATATGGGAAGCAACAAGAAATGATTACAGTTTAACAAGCACGGATTTGAGAAATACCAAATGTATACAATTTTCTACAAAGCATGATGGTGGAGAATGACAAGCGAAAGTATTGTTTTGATAAAACATGCATGTGAAAAATGACAAGTAACGATAACAATTTAGCAAGCATGAGTGTAAGAAGTTAATAACAAGCATGATAATGATAAGTGAAAATGACAAGCCCCTGATTATTTTTTGTCTTTAACATTCAATCTTTTTGTCAAATGTCACATCAGAAACTCCAAAAAAACTTCGAAATGTTTTAGTCCTTTTTATAATTATCTGCAAAATCTTGAGTGAGATTTTCCGTCGATTTGAAATATAATAGAGAGGTCATAGCCTTAAGGAAGACTAACAAGATCTAAAGAATGTAAGAGTACACAATCATGAGGAGCTCTATCAAAACTATAACTTCTATATCAATGTTTTAAGCGAATCACTAGTACAAAATGGGATAATTAAACCTCTATATCTACACCAGTTATAGCACTTACAGTGTAAAAATAAGATACGGTGGTATTTTCATAAATAAAAAATATGTGGAGAAATATCTACACCGGTTTAAATCTTAACCGGTGTAGATAAGTATTATATTTTAAAAAATAAAATTTCTTTTTTTGATATCTACACCGGTTATTAGTAAACCCAGTGTAGATGTATTATTATTAAAAAATAATTTTAAATTTAACCATATATACACTAGTTAGACTTGGTAACAGGTGTAGATATGTTTTGAATTTTTTTTAAATTTTTTATCCTATATCTACACCAGATATTTCATATAATCGGTGTAGATATGGGTTCAGATTTTTCAAATGTCTCAAAACCCTTCTCTGTCGCCTTAGACCTCTCAGTCTCTTGGTCTCACTGTCTTTGTTCTTTGCTCTCACTCTCGCCCTCTCCTCTGTTAATCTCTCAGTCTCTTGGTCTCACTGTCTTTCTTCTTTGCTCTCGCTCTCGCCCTCTCCTCTGTCAATCTCTCGATCTCTTAGTCTACTATGCTGTGCGACTGTGTTTCTTCTTGATATGGACTCGGCCCTCTTAGTCTCATTGTGATCTGGACTCAACTTCTTCGTTTCATGATTTTCTCCCTTAACTGCTACGCGTAATTTCATGTCACTGCGAAAATTGCTCTGGCCTCTCTCAGGTACATATTTTTCGGAATATAAAATGTTGTTTCTTCTATAAGCAAGCCTATTCCCTTTTTTTCTCTCTTTGTATATATGTTGTGGCCTGTGGAAGAAATATTATTGATGAGATATTGAAGAAGGTTGTTTAATTAGAATGATGCATATGATCACTTAAATTGTTTTCATTCTCAATCAGGTCAATGAGCAAGTCTTTCTACGACTGAGTCAATTTGGATTATTTTCTTGTAATATCAAGCAATTATTAATTGTGCCATAGGTTAAAAATGAGAGTAATTTATAGTAATATTACAGTACTCGAAAACCCTTTATATCTTGACTTTGCTTCTCTCGATTAATATAAATAAAGACAGGGGACTAGTGTAGTGTGAGCAAACATAGAAGAGGCCTAAGGCTATTAGGCATTGCATGTGACTGTGTTGTGGTTAAAAAATATTATTTTTTCTTGTATTTTTAATTGTAAATTTATTGAAAAGTCTAACTTTTAAGAGAGACTCTACTGAAATTTTTGTAAAACTTATTATTTGGCCCCTTTTTCTATATGGAAATGCCAAAGAATTTATAGAGTTGGCTTCAAGTAAAAAGGAAGCCAACTCTAAAGATTCTTGTTCTCTAGAAAATAGGGAAATTTCCATGGTTGGCCCTATTTTTAATATAGAACTTGTTGTTTGGTCCTATCTTAATATACTATGTTGTGTTTTAGGAAGTCAAATTAAATATGGATCATAGTTGGATAGATGCTATATGAACGAGTGCAAAGTATATTAATGGAGTTAAGGGGTTTTTGAAATTCACTCAAAGCAATGCTGAAGATAATAGTGGGAGGTTTTATTGTCCGTGTAGGAATTGTTTGAATGAGAGGCAGCTAAATGCAAATGTGATATATGAACACTTAATTTGTAAAGGGTTTTTCAAAAGTTATAGAGTATGGATATGGTATGGCGAAAGAATGAACATGCCATTGCCAAGTACATCTCAAGTGCGAGATGTCGATGTTGATGATGATGATGATGATGATATGGTTGATCGGTTAGAGGATATGATTCGTGAAGTGGGTAAAGAGGCCTTTGCGCAATCCCTAGCGTATAATAATATATGTATGATGCAAATACATCTTTGTACCCAAGGTGTGAGGAATATAGTGTAAGGAATTGATGAACTTGAAAGCTAGATCCAGATGGAGCAATAAGAGTTTTATAGAAATGTTGAAGTTGTTGAAATTAATGCTTCTAAAGGAAAATGTGTTGCTAGTTCGTTACTATGAGGCGAAGAAAATTCTATGCCTACTCAGCATGGAGTTTAAAAAAATACGTGCTTGCCTAATTGACTGCATACTATAAAGGAAAGAGCATAAAAAAAAGCAAAAGTGTTCATTATATGAGATAAAAAGG